AAAGGAATTTGTTGAATCATCTAACCCGGTCAAAGAAACCAATTTATAAGTGTAGGGATTTATTAAATTATCTAACCTGGTCAAAGAAAACAATTTGTAAGCGTAGGAATTTGTTGAATTATCTAACCTGTCAAAGAAAACAATTCAAGCAAAGGAATTTGTTGAATCATCTAACCCGGTCAAAGAAACCTATAAGCATAAGGATTTATTGAATCATCTAACTCGGTCAAAGAAAACAATTTATAAGCATAGGGATTTATTGAATCATCTAACCCGGTCAAAGAAACCAATTCAAGCAAAGAAATTTATTGAATTATCTAACCCATTTAAAGAAACCAATTTGTAAGCGTAAGAATTTGTTGAATTATCTAACCCGGTCAAAGAAATCTATAAGCATAGGGATTTGTTGAATCATCTAACCCGGTCAAAGAAAACAATTCAAGCAAAGAAATTTGTTGAATCATCTAACCTGGTCAAAGAAAACAATTTGTAAGCATAGGAATTTGTTGAATCATCTAACCCAGTTAAAGAAACCAATTTAAGCAAGTTGTAAATTAATTATACAAACTTAATATTATAATTATCTATGATTATTAAAAACTATAAACACACTATTATCGTAATATAATATTATTATTACTGCATACATTACGATGCATTAAAGTTGTAGATACAATAATTTTAATCGTTTTAGGCTCATTAAGATTATCATAAATCCCTTAAAAAAAATTATAGTGTTTCTGTAAAGTACATGCATAAGTTGCAAGTGTGCAAAAGAAGATTCTGACCATCTGGTAAAGTGTACAGAGTATGTCAATTACTGGGTATTGTAGAGAAGGTTGTATGTCTACTTGCATGGAAGAAGTTAGAACATGTACATAAACAGACAATATCGGTTGAGAGGTTTGGTCTGCTAATTGGTGGTGATATAACTAAGAAGAAGTTTAAGTGGAGAAGAGACTATATTAGAGAACTTATACCTGACAATATGGTGGCAGAGTTGTTAGACTTAGAGCTACCTAAGAAGATTGTAAACCTGGCACTTAGTAGTTATATATAAAGATGTGCTATGAGCATTATACAGGTGATGTTGCATGCTATATTATGCTGCATAATGTGATGCCAGTTGCCTAAAATTTAAAAATGCACATAGAAGTTATTATGTAATTTTGATTCATATCATTTCATCAACAATTACTTTATAGACATCTGTTCCTATCATATTTATAGCCTATGAAATCTAATAAAAAATTAATCTACCAGGTCTGTTTTCACTATATAAATATAATATTTTATGTTTTCAAATTTAATAATCTCTTAGTAATAATACATAGTCTGTTCACTGCATATAGGTTTAAGAGGTCACAGTATATTATACAGAACTGCATAATGTATCATGCAACATAATGCTGCATTATGCAGTGCAAGGCCAAAAAAACTTGCAGCACTTGTAGAAAGTAGCTTTCTCGATGAAATTTGGCGAATTAGATATAACGCAGTTGCTGTGTGGGAAAAGAAAATTGGTATAGATACAGCAATGAAGAGAAGTAACCCAAAACGTTCTGCAAAGAGGGTGCCGTTACTATTAAAAGTTCAACATCGAGAGTTGAAAAAACAAGAGTAAAGGTGAGACGAGTGGTACAGTTAAGTCAATAAGTAATGAGAAAGAAGCAGAGGTTTAGCAGTTATTTGAGAAGAGTGTTGTTGAATGGGTTGAGAATAGATCAACCCCATTTTGGTTTAGTTCTTGATAGAGCTGACAAGGTCTTCCAACCTACATGTGGGTTGGTGCAACAAGTTGCATCTGGGTGAACATGATGTAGCTGGGTGATGCCGGGCTTGCAATTTTTAATTAGATATTATTAGAATTTTTAAAACTTTGTTTTTAGTTTAATAGTAATATAATTTGTATTTGAGCACCAACAAGACTGTCAAAGAATTAAATATATATATATATATATAGGATAGGCCAAAAGAAATAAATGAATATAAAATATAAGCAAGGTCAAGCTTAAATTTGAGAAAATATCTGAAATATTCTAAAAAAATCAAACAAAAATATAAAATATATTTGGTATAGTAAGTTTAAATTTTTATAAATTGAATCACCTAAAGACAATAAATAAGTATATATAAAAATAAAATTTATATGCACATATATACATTAATAGTTTATTTGTGTAATTAAACCTGATGACACAACTGCTATATGAAGTTTCAATCTGAATTTTAAATATAAAGTAGGCAAATAAGATGTTTATTACTAATAAACTCAAGCTATTAAAGAATCTACCATATAAGATATAAATTAAAACTATTAAAACTTTAACTACTAATTTACATTGACAAGCTCAAACACACTACAAGAACTGACCAAATTTAAATATTAAGCCTAGATCTTCTTGTTAAAGAGCTTGTATGGTATAACTATATAATAACATGCAGGGGTAAAATTATAAATTTCAGCCTGAATTAAGCTTAATACAGGCCAAACCTCAAAATAATACTCATGAGTGTTATTACGCAAAAATATGGTACCTATTCAAATTAAACAGTTAGAAATAAAAGCATATTTAAATCTGATATAATAAAATAATTTTAGCTAAAAAAAATTTTGGTTATCTTCACTCTACAGTATAGTTTGATATAGTTCAATAAGTGGTAAGTATATTTTGCCTTCTAAATAAAGTTTGCAAAAATACTGATTATTACTAATTATTTTTCATAGTGAATATAGATGTTCTATTGAAATGAAAAATAGCTTTTGTGGTGATTTTTTTATTAGTGAAATGTTGTTTTCAAGAAGTACTAAACTACTAGGGTAAGTATAAAGTTTAATTCCAGTCAGATAATATACTGAATTAGAATAACATAGATCACTCCTTTTATAGTAACAAAATGTTGATTAACTATTTTAGATTCCTTCTGACTACTACACCAACAACACCTCCAAATTTTCTGCGCATGCATTATACTGATTATCAAATTTAAATAATAAAATTCTAACGATGATTTCAGGATTTCTCAATAAGTACTTGATTAAATTCAGAAAAAAAATTCTTATTTTAATTCTATAGTTTTGTAGAATTAAAATAAAAAAAAGTTCATTGAATTTGGTTTAGTACTTGTCGAGAAATCATTACTAAATGTTTTAAAAAAACTCAAAATATCTTAGAAAAAATTAAATTTGATAAATTTTTCTTTCTTAAAACTTTCTTGCTAGTTAACATCCGAATTTGTTGATTTTTTTTTTTTTTTTTGTTCTATGTATTTATAGAATTAAAATAAAAAAATTTTAACAAATTCAGATAGTTAACCGGTGAGAAATTTTTGGTTAAAGTTCAAAGAAAAAAAATTTTGACCACAGCTTCTTTTTTAAAGAAATTAAAATTTGTATGAAGATTACTTGGCATTTACCTGGTCAAATTTGATCAATTTTTTTTATTTTAATTCTATGAGCATTTATAATTAAAATAAAAAACTTTTGAGCGAATTTGACTAAGTAAATGCCAAGTTTTCTTTGTTCAAAGGTTTGATGTCTTTAAAAAAGAAGTTTTGGTCAATTTTTTTTAGCTTTTGATGAATATTTCTCGATATTTAGTAATCAAATTCGATAAAAATTTTTTTACTTTAATTGTATGAATCATAGAATCAAAAAAAAAAAAAATTTATCAAATTTAATAGTTGACTTGCAAGAAATCTTTGTTTAAAGTTTAAAGAAGAAAAATGACCAGATTTTAATTTTTTTCTAGCTGAATTTAATCAAGAACTTATTAGAAAATAATCATATTCTTTAAATTTGTACTCTCCAAGTAAACATTTTTTAATTTTTTTTTATATAAAACTGCTTAATTCACAGCAAGTATTTTTTAATAAATTGAAAAATTGACTGCATAAATGTTAGAAGTATATAACATATTTTAAGTGTCATTATATAAATGCTTTTAAAGACATTTGAGCTCTAATTTTAAAATTGAAATAAAAGCAGACATAGCATTTGAATATTGGTAAAAAAAAAAAAAAAAAAGACAAGCTTTTTTTTAAAAAAAAAAAAAAAAGAGCAAGATTTTATTGTTTAAATTGTCAGACTTAGTATACATAGCATTAGCTTCGTTCAGCATCTAATATAATTTTAAAATAGTAAATTAAACTTAAATTTAAATAATTAGTATAAAAATATTTTTTAATTAAGTTATACCAAAGCTTACAATATTAGCTCTTTTAGCTCATATTCATTGTAACTATTAATTTTAAAATAATATTTAGTAATATATAATTAAGAATAAAGTGTAAAATAAACTTCTTTACTAACTTTTAATATTGTAAATATATAGTATGCTTGTTATTGTCTTTTCATGTTCTTGGATTCGTTGTTCTTCCTTTATAAGCTTTAATATCTGTTACCAACTTGTTAAGACCTTCGAAGCTTTTTTCAACAGATTTTGCCCATTTAATATTATTAATTTCATGCTGTTCTTGCACTATTGTTAATGCATCATGCAACATTGTTTCATAATTTTTAAAAAGTTGATTCGAATTATTGCTTATATGTATAGTAATATTTTTTAATATGTCTAATTTAAAGTAAATGCTTAATTAATTTTTTTTTTTTTGGTATTAAGGTGACCTCTTTGGTCTGGGAAACTTTTTATTAGAGTATAGACGAAGTTTTATA